ATGAGATGATATATTCATAGTCTTGAAAGAAAAAACCCTGCCAACCAAGAACCTTATACACAGAAAAACTTCTCTTCAGAAATGAAGAAGAAATAGTTTTTCCCAGATAAACAGAAACTTAGGGAATTCACCATGAGACCAGCTCTACAAGGATTGCTTAAGGGAGTCCTACTCTAGAAACAAAAGAACAATAACCACCATCATGAAAACACATATAAGTGTACAAAACACACTAAAAGAATAGAAACATGAAAAAGAGAAGAGAATCAAACTTACAAAGACAAATTACAAGAGAAGTAGAAAGGAACAAGGAATATATAAAACAAAACAAATGAAGAAAACAACAAAATGACAGGAGCAAGTTTGTACCTGTTAATAACTGTTAATCACAGTGGCTGTGACCAAATACCTGAGAAAATCAACTTAGATAAGGAAATATTTATTTTGGCTCATTGTTTCAGGGGTTCAGCTCCTGATCTCTTGGTTCTGTTGATTCTGGGACTGTAGTGAGGCAGAACATCAAGGCAGGGATGGAATGACAAAGTTAAAGCTGCTCACTTCATGGCAGATTACCTCAGAATGGAAGAGAAGGGGGAGTAAAAGAGAGAAAGAACACATGCAAAGCATGTGTGAGGGAAAAAAATATATACTTTTAAAAAGGCATACACCCAGTGACCTACTTCCTATAACTAGGCCCAAATTCCTATAGTTTCCACTACCTCCCAATAGCACCATTATGTTGGTACCAAGCTTTTAATCCATGAACTTTGGGAAGACATTTAAGATTCAAACCACAGGGCTGGGGTTGTAGGTCACTGATAGAGCATTTACCTAGCAAATGTGAGGCATTGTGTTTGATCCTCAGCACCACATAAATATAAATAAGTAAAATAATAAAAAGATCCAAACCATAAAAATAACCTTGAATATAAATGAATAAATCAATCAAAAGACAGACTGGCTGAATGGATTAAAAATAAAACAAGATCCAACTATATGATGCCTATAAGAAACTCACTTCATTGGTATAGATACACACAGTGAAATGAAAAAGATATACTATGCAAACAATAAACCAAAACCGAGGAGGGGTAGTTATACTCATCAGATGATGCTGATTTTCAACCAAAAACTATTAAAAAATTGAAATTAAAGGGCTATGAATAGGAAAAAAAAGAACTCAAACTATCATTATTTGCCAATGACATGATTCCATATTTAGAGGATCCAAAAAAAAATTCCACCAGAAAACTTCTAGAATTAATAAATGAATTCAGCAAAGTAGCAGGATATAAAATCAATTCCCATAAATCAAATGCATTTTTATACATCAGTGAGGAAAGCTCCGAAAGAGAAATTATGAAAACTACCCCAATTCAAAATAATCTCAACAAACAAACAAACAAACAAACTTGGGAATCAATTTAACAAAAGAGGTGAAAGACCTATACAATGAAAACTACAGAACACTAAAGAGAGAAACTGAATGAGACCTCAGAAGATGGAAAGACCTCCCATGTTCTTGGATAGGCCATTATCGTCGAAATGGCCATAGTACCAAAAGTATTATACAGATTTAATGCAATTCCAATTAAGATCCCAACAACATTCCTCATAGAAACAGAAAAAGCAATCATGAAATTCATTTGGAAAAGAGACCCAGAATAGCCAAAATAATCCTTAGCAAGAAGAGTGGAGCAGGTGGCATCACTATACCAGACCTTAAACTACACTACAGAGCTATAGTAACAAAAACAGCATGGTATTGGCACCAAAATAGACATGTAGACCAATGGTACAGAATAAAAGATACAGAGACAAACCCAGATAAATACAGTTATCTTGTACTAGACAAAGGCACTGAAAATATACCTTGGAGAAAATATAGCCTCTTCAACAAATGGTGCTGGGAAAACTGGAAGTCCATATTCAGCAAAATTAAATTAAGGCCCTATCTCTCATCATGCACAAAACTGAACTCAAAGTGGATCAAGGGTCTAGAAATTAGACCAGAAACACTGTGCCTAACAGAAGAAAAAGTAGTCCCAAATCTTCATCATGTCAGATTAGTTCCTGAGTTCCTTAACCAGACTCCTAAAGTGCAAGAGATAAAATCAAGAATCAATAAATGGGATGGATTCAAACTAAAAAGCTTCTTCTCAGCAAAGGAAATGATCAATAATGTAAAGAGAGAGCCCTCAGGGTGGGAGAACTTCTTTACTACACGAACATCAGACAAAACACTAATTTCCAGGATATATAAAGAACTCAAAAAACTTAACACCAAAACAGCAAATAACCCAGGCTCGGGCTGTAGCTCAGTGATAAAGTGCTTGCCTCGCATGTGTGAGGCAATGGGTTTGATCCTCAACACTACATAAAAATAAACAAATAAAATAAAGGTACTCTGTCCATCTAACACTACATTAAAAAAAAAAAAGCAAATAACCCAACCAATAAATGGGCTAAGGAACTGAACAGACACTTCTCAGAAGAAGATATACAATTGATCAACCAATATACGAAAAAAATGTTCAACACCTCTAACAATTAGAGAAATAAAATCAAAATTACTCAAGATTTCATCTCACTCCAGTCAGAATGGCAATTATCACGAATACAAGCAAGAATAAGTGCTGGCGAGGATGTAGGGCAAAAGGTACACTCATACATTGCTGGTGGCCTACTGCAAATTGGTGCAACCACTCTGGAAAGCAGTATGGAGATTCCTTAGCAAACTTAGAATGCAATCACCATTCAACTCAGCTATTCCACTCCTCAGTCTATACCCAAACGACTTAAAATCAGCATACTATAGTAACACACCCACATCAATGTTTATAGCAGCTCAATTCACAATAATTAATCTGTGGAATCTAGATGTCCTTCAATAGATGAATGGACAAAGAAACTGTGGTATATATACACAATGCCATATTACTCAGCATTAAAAGAAAATAAAAGGGCTGGGGTTGTGGATCAGTGGTAGAGTGCTTGCCTAGAATGCATGAGGCACTGGGTTCAATCCGCAGCACCACATAAAAAAACTAAATAAACCAAATAAAGGTAATGAGTCCATATACAACTAAAAATATTTTTTAAAAAGAGAAGAAAATATGGCATTGCAGGTAAATGTATACAGTTGGAGAATATCATGCTAAGCAAAATAAGCCAATCCCCCAAGACCAAAGGCCAAATGTTCTCTCTGATAAGTAGATGATGATCCATAATGGGGGAGGAGGCATGGGAATAATGGAGGAACTTTGGATTGGGCAAAGAGGAGACTGGGAGGGGTGGGAGCATGGGGTAGGTAAGATGATGTAATGAGAATGATGTCATTACCCTAGGTATATGTATGCCTGCACAAATGATGCGACTGCATAGTGTACAATCAGAGAAATAAAAAGTTATGCTCCATTTGTGTACAATGAAGTGAAATGCACTCTGTTGTCATACAAATTTTTTAAAATTTAAAAGAGTTTAAAAAAGTATAAAAATTAATCCATTATATATTCATAAAATAATTCATCAAGAAGTTATAGCAATTGTAAATATATATGCACCCAACACTAGACTTCCCAAATATATAAATATAAAACAAATATTATATATAAAGGGAGTGACAGGCTCCAATATAATAATAGGTACTTCTACACCCTACAGTCCTCAATAGACAGATCAACCTTACAGAAAATCAATTAAAAAACCATAGTTAAATCATACTACAGAGCAAATGTGCTTAGCAGACATTTACAGAATATTTTTCCAATAGCAGCAGAATATTATATTTTTCTTATCATTACATGGAACATTTTCCAGGATAAATCATGGCAGGTGACAAATAAAGTCTCAAAAATTGTCTCTGTATCTCCTTAGACTATAACAGAATAAACATATAAATCAACAAGAATAATGGAAAGTTAAAAAAAAAAACTTGGAAATTGAACAATATGTTGCTAAATGATTAAAGTATAATTGATGAGATTAAATGGGAAATCAATATGTCTTAAAGAATGAGAATCAAAGCATATCAAAATCTGAGATATAGCAAAAGCAAGTAGAAATATATAAATATACATAAATAAATATGTGAATATAAATAAATGCATGCATCAAAAATATTTCAAATAATTATTAGTGTATCTCAAGGACTTAGAAAAGAAAAATCAAACTCCAAATTAGTAGAAGTAAAGAAATAATGAACAGACATAAATAAAACCAAAACTAAAAAGACACATACAAAATTTAACGAAGCAGAGTTGGTATTTCAAAAAGACAAAAATTACACACCTTTAACTACACTAACCAGCAAAGAGAGAAACAAACAATAAAAAATAAACAAATGAAAAAAGAGCCATTACAACTGATACCACAGAAATACAAATACATTTCCAAATGTTTTGAGAAAAAGAATACAACATTCTTGATATGTACAAATATTGATGTTTGAAGAGATGGAAGTGCTTATTCCCCTGATTTGATCATTACACATTGTACACATGTACTGAATTACCATAATGTACCCAATAAAGATGTACCAATATTATGTCTTACATTTTTGAAAAAATTTTAAAAAGAGAAAGAGAAAAGGGTACCTCCAAGATAGAGTGGCAGGTGCTAATAGGTACTTAAGAAGCCTAAATTAGTTTTTTCTTTTTTTAAACCAGCAGTGTCTGCAATCATCCCTTTGCCTCTTACAGGCCCATTAGCTCACTCTCAGGGAACTTTCTGGCTAAAATACTCAGGGAACACTAAGGCCAGAGGCAGTGAAGACTCACTAGCAAACTCTATATGTTCAATAAGCAAAGGTCCCCCAGAAACACCCTTTTGCAATAGTGACTAGAATGTTCCAAGTGGCATCAGTTTTGCGACTCCCTTTCCTCCTACAACTTGGTAATCAAAATATCTCCCATCTCCTAATTAAGATAAGCTGATATGGTAGGCAGCAATCAGAAGGAAATGAAATACAGTGAAATATCAACAAATAAAATGTGGAATACCTTGTTTTTAGCTAATTCCTTTTCCCAATTGCTTTTCTCTTGTGCTATTTCTTTTTCAGTTTTATTAACCTGCCCAAGGAGGGAAAAGAAATGGGTCAATTTTACAGCAGTTAACAGGATCTACTATATCAGACACATCCTGCATATTAGTTAATACCTACACTGCAGAGATATCACATCCTCTCAGAAAAGGGGTCAATCAGGGAGTCTCTGAGGCAGAGCAGACTTCACAAAGAGCCCTGCAAGTAGAAAGACACGCCTGCATGTCAGACTCTGCTGATTCCTTCCTAACTAGGGAAAAGGGGCTCTTTCCCTTAACCTCCACTGTCCCACTCCTTCAGGGAAAATAAATTTTTAAAATCTGACCCCTTAACTAACAGGAGGATGTGTGAATTATTAGTTGATATTTACTGATGCTATATAAGGTATACTGCACTATTAGGCCCAGATGACTTCACATGTCAAAATGCACAGATTAGCCACCTAAAGATTTCTTTAATGAGCAACTCAGAAAACCTGCTCTGAATTTTCTTTATTTTTATGTCTTTTGCACTTAGAGTAGAATTTTAAAACAGTATAATCACACTGCAAGCAGGAGGTAATATAAATCTGCTTTTCCCTACCTCTTTTTGAAATCTTTCATTCTCCTCTAGCAGACACTTCTTCTCTTGTATTGATGCTTCCAGTTCACCTCGCAATCTTGTAATAGTTGATTCTAGAAGCTCTTTTTGTGCAGCTGTCCTTTTCTCAGCATCCTGTGCTTTCTGGATACACTGGTTATGCTCAAGGATCAAATGGTCCCTGCACAAAGAGAACAAGGAGACATGAAAGTTAAATGAATGTTCTGCTTTAATAGAATAATTAAGTGTTCTTATAGAACATAACTCTCGCCTAAGAGCAGTTACCACAATGTTCTAACAAGACTTATTGTTGAAGGCAGCATCTTTATTTTATCTTTGTGGCTGGCCCAGAAATCACAGAATTAAACATTTTCATTAAAGAAATTCAAGTGCAAGAATGAAAGATACATAGGAAGTTGCCAGTAATTTACTTACAGATGTGTTTGGAGTTGAGTTTTTTCATTCTGAACTGTGTATAGTTCATTTGTGATGCTGGCATGGGCTGCATCCAGCAGTAAGTTCTGTTCTTGAAATGTCTGCGTCATCATTTTTTGCTCTACCTGAGTGTTAGGAGTAATTTTATAAGTTGAGATGCCATTTAATAGGGTATATTTTCAGAGTAACTGATTAAAGATACCAAACTAACTTATACAAGTTTTATCTCCATAAATAAAATCTCTTTTAATAGAATTTAATGTCTCAGCTTTCTCATTGTTCCACCCTGAGTTGAGTACAGTTCTATAGTTTTATACCTCTACTAGCCAATAATCAAGAGGCACTGTTTACCCAGCCTGCTGCAAGTTCTGTAAAACTCCTAACACCAATACCTATTTAAAAGTTATGATATTTGAAAAGAAACCATGAAAAAGTACTAAGTGTTAGGCCAAATCATTCCTCTGATGAAACCTGGAAACTAATAAAAAAATAATAATACTTCAATAAACTTTTGAAATTATTTAAATATTTTATTTATTTAGTTGGCAATGTACATTTTCTGACCTCTTAGGTTGGCTTTCTGCTGCTTCTAGCAGAAGTTCACTAGTGTTAAATGAGTACCTGCAGAATGGCTTGGTGGTCAGCAATAATCCTGGCATTTTCCACAGTAGCATTCTGAAGCATACTGCTTAGCTCGGAGCACTTTCTACTCAATTGGTCATTTGAAACCTAAGACAACATATATAGCAAGTCACAGATATCTTTGATAAAAAATTATTTCACTTATATATCATTACTTTTAATGATTGCATAGTATCTCACTATATGGGTGATTCTAATTTGTTTAACCTATTTCCAATTAATATTTCACTGGTTTATAGAGTATTTAAAAATATCTGGAGTCGAAATCCTAAAAAATTCTAAATTAAAAGGAGAGATTTGTTGATTAGGTGGAGCAACTAAGGCATCTGGCAATTTACTTATCTGTTTTTCATAATTTTGGTCACTGATCAATTAGTGCAAGACATCTGCAGAATGGAATTTACAATGTAGGTATACCTAGATAATCTTTTTAAATTGATTTCTATCACTACATGATGAGCATTCAGAAATATTTAGCTAGTAAAATGAAATATCTAAGTTCCTTTGCCACCAAAGATATTACTGAATTTACTATGATGAGGTTAATCTTTTAGAATGAAACAAAAACCTTGTGATACAGATCAGACATGTAGTTTGTTGAGAATTCTTATTGATACTGGGGATCAAACCCAGGGCCTCATACATGCTAGACAAATGTTCTATTGCTGAGCTACACATCTCCAGCCCTAATTAATAATTCTCATCTTTTCATATTTTGAAATTTATATTATGAAAAACATTCCTTTGAATTTTGAGCTATTTTTGTAAGGTAGATTTGGCAAGGACCTTGTGTTTTAATGAACAAGTTCTTCAAGGATAAGGGCATATCACTTTGAAGGAGAAATAGGAAAAAAATAAATAAAATGTTAAGATAAATGAAAGATGATCTAGCAAGTATACTGTACTATGTCGTACAGTGGTTAGGAACACTTTAGGAGGCATGTTAAAAGTCATAACCAGATGTACAAACTATTCATCAAGGAATACCTAGGAGTGAGACACATGGAGAACACTTGCTCCTTGAAAAAATAGTTCTTCCCTCCTTTAAAGCCATATTGCCTGAGCTCAAATTCCAACTGTCACTTATTAGCTACACTATTAGTACTTTTTGTGTGTCAGCTTCCTTATGATGTAGCTAATAGTTTCTATTTCATAGTACTATTTTACCAATTACAATTTGTTGTAATATTTGGTGCTAACAATTGTGCCTAGAACGTGGAATGGGTTCAGAAAAAATGTTAACTAGTAGATATTATTATTATTTTATAAAGACGTATTTGTATTTTCTTTATTATAAAGAAAGCACAGTACACTATGATCCTTACATTGTAGTAATTAAATTGTACCAACATAAAAGTTATTCTGAGTGATAAACTCTATTTCTTGGGCTCTGTGATAACTCTAGTTTTCCTGTATATATAACGATTATCTAAAATGTACTTGTGTTTATTAATATAGATAAAGAATCAGCTAAATTTGGGAACAACCACCTCACTGAGAATGATTACCCTAACTCCAAAATTCAATAAGCATTAGTTCAGTTCCGACTGTGTTATTTGCTATAGAAGATACAAAGTATAATATTTAGCCCTTGTCATTGAAATGCCTTTTTAAGTTCAGTGTAGAGAGGTATTCATATTTAACAACTAAATTAGAAAGCAAACTGTAAACTAGTGCATGATTTAGTGATAGATCTTATATATTATTATGTTACAGAAATTTGTAGATCAAAATGAAAACTACAGTTAATTTGATAATGCATCATAGATGAAATAGATCTTATGAAAGTAAATAGTTTGATGATATACATAGTATACATTTATATAATCAAGATTAACCTTGGTTCTTTTTTTTTAAAAGAGAGAGAGAGAGAAAAAGAGAAAGAGAGAGAGAGAGAGAGAGAGAGAGAGAGAGAGAGAATTTTTTTAATATTTATTGTTTAGTTTTCGGCAGACACAACATCATTGTTTGTATGTGGTGCTGAGGATCGAACCCGGGCCACACGTATGCCAGGCGGGCGCGCTACTGCCTGAGCCACATCCCCAGCCCAACCTTGGTTCTTTAATTGAACAAAATTAAATAACATTTAAAACAGTGAATATCTACCTGTGTTTTTGCTGATGCTTCATGAAGGGATAATATTTCGGACTTCAAATATGTGTTTTCTTCATGTTCCTTGTTGAAAGATATTTGCATGTTCTATTGGAATTAAAAAAAACTTCCCTTTTTCACATGTACAAGATATCATATATATCTCTATAAAAATACCTATTTGTATTCTGGCCAGTACTTGTTCAAGTTTTCCAATGAGATACATGTGTATTTGTCTTACACAAATTGTTAAAAATCTTAGTATTTTCAACTCCCAAACTTCTCTTTATTTTTAAATTATTTATTAAAACTGTTTATACAAAATAAGATACTAGTATATGCCTATTCGAATAATAAAAATCTAGAACAATGACAGCACCAAATGTTGGTAAGGATATAAAGCAACAGGCACTCTCATTCATTGTTGGTGGGAAAGCAAAATGACAAAGCCACTTTGGAAGACAGTTTGGTAATTTCTTACAAACTCAAATTATTATTACCATATATGATACAGCAATCACGCTCCTTGGTGTTTACCCAAAAGAGCTGAAAACTTATGTCCACAAAAAAACCTGCCCATAGTTATGTTTATATTGCTATATTTATAGCATCTTTATTCATAATTTAAAAACTTAAAATACTAAGTGAAAGAAGCCAGTCTAAAAAGGCTACATGTACTATATGATTCCAACCATATGATATTCTGGAAAAGGCAAATCTATGAAGACAGTAAAAAGATCAGCTGTTGCAAGGGGAGGGGTAATGAATAGATAAAGTACAGAAGATTTTTAGGATGGTGAAAGTACTCTGTATGATTCTATAATAGTTAATATATGTCATCATACATTTGTCTAAATCCATAGAATGTACAAGAGTGAAATCTAATGTAAATTACAGACTTTGCTATGTCAATATAGTCATCAATTTGAAATAATTTACCAGTCCAAAGAGCATGTAAATAATAAGGGAGGTATATAGGGGGGCAGGAGGGTACCTGGGAAATCTCTATAGCTTCTGATCAATTTTGCTAGGAACCGAAAACAGCTCTAAAAATATGGTCTGTTTTTTTTTTTAAAAAAAAACTATTTATTAAGTTTATTCTCACAATGGGATTCCAATCAGAAAGAACTCCTTAAACTATAACCTAAATATTACTAATATCCTTATATTAAGAAAGTTCTACTCTATGATTGCAGATTTCTTATATTGCATATGCATTTTTTCTTATTAGCAATAAGCTGTTGCAATTTAAAAGGTGTACATTCAAGAATTATTTAAAAGACATTTCATCAAGAAGTACCTGGAAGTGGAGGCTAGAAGAGGGTAGCCACAAACTAGTTTTCTTGAGATAGTAGAGTGACAGTGATGTGAGTTGTAGGTTGGGCTTTCCCTACCAGCTACTTGTAGAACGGGAAAGAACATAGTATAAACTTTCTCACTATAGAGAAAAAACACTTTTCTACTTTTCCAGGAGAAGCATTTCAGGAAAGATAAACATCACACAACACAGGATAAGATAGCACCCGAAAAAAATTTCCAAATGGGATCCTCATCATCAAGAGATTCATTTCAAAGTGTAATAAAGCTATAAAAAAGTTTATATTTTTAAAGTTATGGTAAAGTAAATATGAAAATTACCATTATAACTATTTTTAGTAGTACAGTTCAGTAGAAATGAATACATTGATACTGCTATGTATTTATATTTCTTAAATTTCATTGAAATTTTTTAATAATTAGTTTATAAATTGGCAAAATCCACAAATATCTCATCATACTTGCCAATTCACCTTTTTTAAAAAAAATTTGTAGTTGTAGATGGACAGAATGACTATGTTTAATTTGTTTTTTATTTTTATGTGGTGCTGAGGATTAAACCTAATGCCTCACGTATACTAAGCAAGTGCTCTGCCACTGAGCTACAGCCCCAGCCCTAGCCCCAATTCACCTTTTCAAACTATAATAACTTGCAAGAAATGATTACTTAGTTCCTAATACCTAGTGTTATCCAGAATATGCAACTTATTTATCTAAATTTTTTTCCTAATGTTTTTAGGATAAACAATAAGGACTGTAAAAAACAACATGAATGGGAAAATATGACTTAGTAAAGAGAGGAAAACTTACTTTATTGTCTTCGACCAACTTGGAAATGAGGTCATCTCTAGAAACTAAAAACAAAAATCCATATAATTATGACAATAATAACTTACTACATTGAAAACACAAGATATTTTTCCTCCTCAGAAACTAAGTTTTTTAATCAATATTTTGTGAAAGAAGAATTCAAAGATTCTATTCTGATTTTCATAGGCCAAAAACTATTATAAAATCATCAAGAAACTAGTCTATAGTCATTTACAGTGGTAAATGAGACAACATTTTATCTACTCAATGCATTGATGATGAGTCTGAGGGATGTTAAACCAAGAAGAGTGCTGAACAGAAGTTTTTTGTTGGAGAGATCACAGAAGTTTTTTGTTGGAGAGATTCAATAAAGGCAGGAAGATCAGTGTAAAACAGTGAGAGCTGGCTCTCTTAGGATAACAACGGGGCTGCAGAGGAAAAATGGACTTATGAAATAGTAAGCAGAGAGGACTGTCAGGACTTGGTGGTTATTAGTAGGGTAAATGCAATAGAGGAGTCAAGGAGAATCTATCGCATTCGAACTTGGGATGCAGGACCCGTCAACTGTGAAATACAGGGCAAAGAGAATGTTTAGAGGCTAGAATGGGTAAAAAATGAATAAACTCTTAAGTTTTCCATATGCTCTGATGCATCTGAAGAGCATTCAAATATGCATGTTTAGTTGGCAGTAAGATACTGGTCTAACAAGGTATGATGGTACACAACTATAATATCAGATACTCAGGAAGTTAAGGCAGAAAGACTACAAGTTCAAGGCAAGCCTGGGCAACTTAGAAAGACTCTATCTCAAAATAAAATTTTTTTAAAGGGCTGGGAATGTAGCTTAGCAGTAGAGTGCTTCTCTGGTATTAACAAGGACCTGGGTTGAATGTCTACCACCTCAAAAAATAAAATAAAAAGATACGAGTCTGGAGCTCAGGAGTATGATTTTATGTGAGAGGAAAGACATTTGAAACCACTCAGGAGCATAGGCAATAAAAAGAAAATAAAAAGCAGAAAACTAAGGAACAGTTTGGCATTACACACTTTAGTCAAAAGATATAAACTTTTGCCTGTGTGGTAGTGCATCCCTGTAAACCCAGGGTCTTGAGAGGCTGAGGCAGGAGGATTACAAGTTTAAGGGCCACCTCAGCAACTTAATGAGGCCCTAAGCAATCTAGCAAAACCCTGTCTCAAAATAAAAAATAAAAAGGGGTTGGGATGTGGCTCAGTGGTATAGCGTCCCTGGGTTCAATCACCAGTTACCAAAAACAAACTTTTCTGAGAGTAATTAGACTTTGCAGACACTGCCAAAAAATATTTGTTTTTTTTTTTACTTCAATGCTAAAGTCAGAAAATTATGAAAACTGACATTTTATATAGGATATACCTTATAAAAACCATACTTTTTGAATACATAAATTCATAACTCATTAAACTCTAATTAAAATGTGTAAAGAATCAAAAAGATAGACTCTATGATCTGTTTTGAAAGTTCTACTAATCAAAGAATGAAAGAGGAGTGTTTATCTTGGGAGAACAATTTAATCAATTTAAGTAATAGGTATATAAATTTTTGTTACTACATGAAATTAAAAAATTACATTTTAAAATTGAAAATATTTAAAGGCATTTTTATTAATCCAGTTAGAATAACTATTTGTACCTTAAAGTAATAAAATTACTTATAGTAAAAAGTCTATAATTAAAAATTCAGCACATAGTTGATATTCAGATTATATTCATAATTTCCTCATGTTAGTATGAATTACCGTTGTTTTAACTTTCCTTTTTTTAATGATCTTAACATATTCTTTACAAAATTAAACAATAAAGCATTAACCAGAGGTCAGGCCCAGCAACCTGCTGAATTGACAGAGCTGCCACACGCACCTGCAGGGAATGCGGACCTGCGACCCACCAGCAGGAGAGGTCCAGCGGCCTGCTGAGGGGCAGGCCCGTCCCCTCCCCCCGCGCCTGCAAGGTAGGCGGAACTGCGACCCACCGGGAGGTTAGGCCCAGCAACCTGCGGAGTGACAGAGGTGCCCCTCACGCCTGCTGGGTAGGCGGACCTTCGACCGACCAGCAGAGCAGACCTAGGGCCCGCCAGCGTGGTAGATGGATCACACCAATTGGAGGAGGATCATAGCCACTACCTGCCCTGCAAGGGAGATTTTTCAACTATATAAGAGCAATATAAATAAATAGAGGGAAAATTTCAAAAACACAACAGTTTCACCAAGCAGAAAAAACGCCAGCAGTATGAAA